TACGGCGAGGGCATCAAAAATACGTCGTAATGAGGAATATTTACCGGAAACTGAAAATCGTCTTACAAGTCGGAGAGAGTCAAGTAGAGTGTTTGCTGCTGCTTGAAGAGCAAAATAATATAAATATACAAATTCACACTAGGGAATCGAGGTCTGAGCGTTTCCAAAGCCTACGACATTAGAGAGAAAGACAACAAACGTCAACGACTAGAGTTCGTAATAGAGTTTTAGCTCACAGTAACAGATCAGCTTTCTTGCATTATGCTCAACAGTCTTCCGTCCAAATCGGGGCTGACGAATAAGATCAGCTCTAAGTGTTGCCAAAAATGGGTCGATGAACCAAATGGTATGTGCTGTGCTTCTGGAAAAGTTAGTGTCCCCAATATTGAGGAGCCGCCATAGCCAATAATAATCTTTTGACAAATAATCATTCACCATTTGGACATTTTTAACTAACATTCCAAAGAACAATAGCATCTTTCAAATGACATCGTTTGACGCGAACTTTTAAAATAGACGGACAAGGATACAAGTCATCATCATCCTCCTGCCCCTATCCCACCTAGGTGGGGTCGGCACAACATGAATCATGTTGTAAGCGGTTTTGGCTATATTTTTACAGCCAGCCGCCTGCCTGGTGTCCACCCTTCTTGGGAAAAACACTCAGATCAAATTGCAACTGTGTAACTATCACGGTTCGTGAGATACAGCCTGTCGACAGAGGGACAGACAGACAGCAGAGTCTTAGTAAGGCCACAGAGATATAGTGTTGCACGGTAGACACGGCCAACTTAAAAGGTTCTCTGAGTTACACCGATTGTATGATCCACTACAATATCCCTTAATAGTCGTAATAGGATATTATAGGAATATAATAGGATATATAATAGGATATTATTTTACCATTCCTCAGCAAGGTACAGTGCGTAACAAAACTGTGACATGCATGCAATTTTATGCATTAAGGCTGATGGTTAGAGCTACCTGTTTCAATCCATTGCATTATTACAGGGACTTATTAGGGTTCCGTACCCAAAGGGTAAAACGGCACCCTATTACTAAGACTCCGCTGTCTGTCTGTCCATATGTCACCAAGCTGTATCTCATGAACCGTGATAGTTAGACAGTTGAAATTTTCAAAAACGATGTATTTTTGTTGCCGTTATAACAAAAAATACTAAAAAAAATATATAAATAAGTTTGGCTCCCATAAAATAGGCATGATTTTTTGCCGTTTTTATAGATAATGTTGACAGTAGTAGTGATTTTTGACAAAAAGTAAGTGTAATACTTCTATAATAAATAAAGATATTTAAATTTGAATTTTTATGTGATAAAGTGGCAAACGAGCTGGCGGTTCATTTTTTTTATGTGAAAAGTTGCCAAGCGAGCACACGGGACCTGGTGTTAAGTGATAACCGCCGCCCATGGACATTTGCAAAAGCTGTAGGGTTGCAAATGCGTTGCCATCTTTAAATAAAGTGGGCTCCGGCCACCTCTCTCACCAGACGAAACGCAGAAGTATAACAACTTCTACTTTACGCCGGTCTTCTGTGAGGTCTTGGTACTTACCCGGACGGACCTGCCCATTCGCGCAACAGTGAACACTGTTGCGTGACCCTACCAGAGTGAAATTACTACCAAGTTGAATGGTAACGGTACCCTTCGTGTGCGAGTCCGACTTGCACTTGGCCGGTTTTTATTCAACACATTGTCGATATGTTGGCAAAAATGATATCAGAAAGATTGAATTACATATTATGTCCTAATCACCAAATACTGAGGGCTGGTGAAAAATTTATCTTAGAGACGCTTTAAATCAAGACATTGGCCCATCAAATATCGGTCAACGAGTAATCTGTAACGTCATATTCATTTGCAGGTTCTCCGAGTTATCTTCATTAAAAACCCAAGTTGCGATTATATCCGTTGCGATTATGATTTATATCCGAAGCTATGGGAGACCATACTTATTTGTCACTTTTACGTGTAACCCCGAATTAAATCCCCTTAAATTAAACCGGAACTATTATCTGGTCAGCGGTCTTTCGTTATTCATGACGTAATTTCAAGAGTATTTCATTAAAAAATGAAGAAATTCATAAAATTATTCACCAAAGACGAAATATTCGGAAGATTTTATTTGTGTGTAGATAACTTTTAATTTTAAAATTTTTGTTAAATACCCGTGCGAAGCCAGGGCGGGCCGCTAGTATTTAATATAAATAAACAAAACATTGTACTTACTAGCAATTTTGAAATGAAGTTTAGGGAGAGAAGGTATATAATCTCCTATGGAATGCACCGGTGTCCCTCGGTACTGGGCGTGAGCACGCCTCGGAGAAGGCTAAACCTTCCTTGCCGTCTTGCAGCAGCTAGAGGCCACTTCGAGCTGCTACCAATCCGTGTCTTCTTTTAGTCGCCTTTTACAACAGGCGACGACGAGACGACCTTACTCCTATTCTATGAACCCGGAACTACAGGGCTGATCGTTTGCCATCTCTAGGTGCAACCCCTCTTGCTTTGTCGTTAAGATATGAAGGCGTTAAGATTTTCGTCGCTGTGGCTATCAGCCATTTAGCTCAGTGGCTAGAACGTCAGGCCGCGAATGCCGAAGACGTGGGTTCGATTTCCACAGCGGCGACAATTTTTTCGTACTTTTTCTACATGTTTTAAGATTTATGATATTTTGTTACACGAATTAAGTAGTTCCCCATTATCGACTCACCTTTTCATAAAACCGATTGTTTGACTTTACTATGTTCCTACTATCAATAACAGTTAGCTTTATTACACTATATTCCGATGGTTTGAAGAATACAATCATTATTGTGGTACTTACGTGATCTTCAGACAATTTCGTTGCCGGACAAAATGGCTACGATTAAAAACACCTTTCCTCCCCAAAAGAAGATCTTCATAAATATGCATCATACACATTTTGACACCGTAATATTCGTGTACCATTCGCTTTAAAAACGAACGTAAACGCAATTAGCCGCCTATTTTTTAAAGTTGTATTCCCCCACCCGTGACACATTAATTCTTAATAGCCGACGTAACAACGCAAGGCCATAAGGTGAAAAACATTAAGCATTGTCAACCCGCGCAGCAGTTTTCGTGTGTAACACTGAACCTTAAAGTGGTGTCAACTGTTACGTTATATTTTTGTGGAAACGTGACTTTTTGAAAGGGGTCAAATTTTTTTGAAGGTGCATTTTATGCATTAACGCATTTTGCCAGCGGACGGCTATCATTCAATAATGAATTTCATTTTAAGAGAATAAACAGTTTATAGTAATCGCCCTGCAATTGGACGAGCGTACGATTCCGTCTGATTTTAGGCTCATTTATTACCAAGGTATACAGATACGGTCCTCAAACCAAAAGGTATTCAGACAAAGTCAAGGTAAGAATACACTTACACTTAGCCTACATGGTATGGACACAATGTCAAGGTATACAGGCACATGGTCGTCATTGGACTATAATGAAAAACATCACCCAACTGATATAAAGACGTATCATATTTTCTATTATCAACTAGACATCCGCCTCAGCTTCGCACGGGTGCAATGTATTGTACATGTAAACCTTCCTCTTGAACTTCTTCTTCACTCTATCTAATGAAAAAACCACATCAAGATCCGTTGCGTAGTTTTAAAGAGCTAAGCATAAATAGGGACAGACTGACAGCGGGACGACTTTGTTTTATACTATGTAGTGAAGGTACAAGGGACCGCACAATGTGACTTTTTGTAAAAAAGATCGTATGAATGAAATATTCGTGACGTGACAAGATTTTGATAAGCAATAATTATTTTATCGAATTATCGTGTATAAACTTTAATGATTACTTCAGTAATAATCAATTGATAACTGTTTATGACATAAGTATATCTGTTGTATCGATAGACAGAAAATTTTTTAAATTCATAATACCCAAAAACATTAATTTGAAAACGTAACATTTTTTTTCTTCATCATCATCATGATCATTTCAGCCTGTTTGAGTCCACTGCTGAACATAGGCCTCCCGCATAGACTACTACGATGTGGCATAAACTGCCAACTATTTTTCTTAATAAATTATAATTCTAAATTAATTGCCAGTCGTTAGTTCATTCGATCAATTTATGCCGTGACGCAGTTCAAAAGACGACAAAGTTCTGTGTTACTTTTATCAAGTTATTGATTGAATACAATTCATTTTAAAAGTTCGTAGATACGGTGTCTCGCCAAATTGATACTGAATGATATGGTTTTTATAATTTTGCCACGGGGATTAATTGGACATAACCTTTTAGCTTTAATACTCGTATTCCTTAAAAAGATTTTATGAATGTTTTCATTCTAAAACCGGCATAATGTATATTTTAGTATTCCGAATAACTCTATTATTGATAAATATTAGGATATATATATACCGTGTGAAAGTCTAACGGCGAAGTTTTATTCCCAAAACATAGTTGAGGAATTTTATAGGAAACTATCAACTAGCTCGCACGCGTCATTAGTAGAACCAAGTAGTACCAAGCTTACCAGGATCTGACTAATTCAGTCTCAGAATCTATGGGGAACATACGTTCACACTTCGATTATTGTATATATTGATAGATTTTTCACCTTCCACTGTCAAAAATATTTCCTTTTTAAAAAACTCCTTGACACATATTTTTATCTTTTAATTGAAATAATTTAGTAGTTGTCCATGACCTCGCTTGATATAAGAGCCAGTTCCCGCTAATGGAATATTAATCTACTTTAATTTGCCAAAAAGAACAAAAATGAAGTTTCGAACCCATTTCAATAAATCTTTTCAAATTACATAAGTTAGTCTTAACAAGCGAGCGCCATAATAAATAACACGGGCTGCCTTTGAAAATATAAAGACACGTGTGCGCATGATTTCAATATTTCATCTTAAGGCTGCATTCACACTGGGTGCTCGGGCTCACTAGCTCCACTCCTACAATTACGCGCTTGTGTCATATTTACAGCGCAGGTAATTGCCATTCAATTACGAGGCCAGCCCGCTGCGCGCGCGAAAGAGAGACCTGCTGCCCGACGCCGCGTACCTCCCGCTCGCACCGACTGCACAGCCGGCCAGCCATCAATCATCAGGCACCCCCGTCGGGCGCCCGTAGGGATGGGAATCGTCACAAAGCGAGTATCACAGTCCGACAATGCTCGATAAGTGGGCAAACGCCACGCCGAATTGGTTCCGAACCGTCACAAATCCTAACGTTGTTTAGGCTAAATTAATTCACCGCGACAGTCTCGTTAGCTGGATTTTGAATACAAAAGAATTTTTATCAAAGCTTTTAATGCTTTTTTTTTTATCTCAAATTGTTTTCGTCAATGATTTCTCCCGTTTCCGTTTCCCGTTACTTTCTTTCTTAAACACTTCAAAAGCCAACTTTTAAAGTGTATTTAAATTTAAGTGAGCAATACCCTCATGTATGAATAAAATTTACATTAAACGGAACATCACTAAGTACCTACTTGCTATAAAAAAAAGGTATTAAATAATATTTTCTTTTTGTGCAATTCCCTGCAATTAAACTCTAAATCTTTTCCGAGAAACATGAAAACTGTTATTCATAAACTTACCTCTTATGGAAATAAGAAATATGCTTCATTTGAAATAATTATGCAGGTTGCCGAGAGAAGTACTCCTTATCGCGTCAGTATTTTACGCTTTAGTAATTAACCATGGAATTCATTTAACGTGCTAATTAGTGGACGAGGATAAGTTCATTATGTTTGTACCTTCAATTTTTAATTAAATCTATTACATCATTTGTGGGACTTGAATTGGAAATTTATTCGCCTTTGTTTACCCTATACGTTTTTAAATGGGACAGTGCTAATTAAAGTTGTTATTGTTACAGTCGGATGAATAGGTCTCAGGTAGTTAAAATGACCGTACACTTGATCTTAATTTGATTCCCTAATAATTTGTTAGTGTACCTATAGTGTTTTCGAAAACATCGATATGTCGTCGATGAGTCAACATCCACAGCACTCCGATACAATCGTTATAAGCTCCTACAGGTATGCAATCTTTTGCCTTTATGATTTCTTCCTGCACCATTTCGATTTGATAGCCGGTCCATTTTGAAATAGAGCGAAGTATCCGTTTTCAACAAAATGTATTTAATCTGCTAATTCCTAAAATATCTAAAAGTTATAAAGATTTCATTTTACCACGTGTAAGACATTTTCTTTTTACCTAATGTAAGAGGATTCAGTGGGGAGTCATTGGAGCTTGTCAATCATACATATATCTTGGACACTATTTGTCATTTGCCAGGGAAGATCGTGATAACTCGATCTCTCACCGCATTCAATTAGGTTGAGCCGCACTGCAAAATACTGCAAAATGCTTGAAAACCAAGATATATAATCAATGTTTTCTCCCCGCCATGACCTATGGTTCCGAGACATGGAAGCGCACAAAAAACACAATGCACAGAATGTGAGTCGCACAACGAGATGTGAAGCGTTCCATGCTGGGCATCGGGTTAAGATATTGCACCAGCATTACCAAAATCCTAGTCGTATCAGTCCAGAAATACTGCTGGTGAAAACTCGTTTCACAAAGTAGCTGTGCGGGGTAGAAAATTGCGTGAAAAACGCACAGTAGTGGAGCCGAAGCTGCTGCGTGGTAGGGCCACGCAGCAGCTTCGGCTGTTGCACGAATGGGCAGGCCCGTCCGGGTAAGTACCACGACCTCACAGAAGATCAGCGTAAAGTGGAAGTATGACAAATACTTTCGCGTTTCGTCTGGTGAGTGAGGTAGCCGGAGCCCAATTTTCAAAAGGTTGTCAACGCATCTGTACCCTCGGGTGTGGCAGATGTCCATGGGTGGCGGTATTCACTTAACATCAGGTGAACCGTCTGCTCGTTTGACAACTTTTCGCATAAAAAAAAAAAAAAAAAAAAAAAAAAACCGCCAATCATAAAGGTAGTGTCGATGGTAATTGGTGATATGACAAGTTGTACGATGATGAAATCCATCAGCAGGTAACAACCCGAACAATTCCTCGGGTGGGATGCAACATCCCTTCGCAAAGCTAGTCGAGGCGATTGGACAGGACCTGGTTATCGACGATTCGAGAAGCTCTTCGTTGGATGCGGTCAAATAGATGGAGCTGGTAATATCTGGTATGGGTACGTTCCTCACCTTTGGCCCTTTTTTTTCTTTTTTTTTTTGGTATCGGGGGGGAAATCTTCCAATGATACCTTGTCACGTTACATGACAGGGTTATGTGTGGTTCTTACCCACTAAAATCCCTTCGGTGGCCACCCTCTGTACGTTTGGAGGGACTCCGGGATCACCCCACTTCGCATGCCACCCCAAGCTCGGCGAGCTTAACTGGTGCTCTCGAAGCAATGCCCTTCGGCAATTACGAGAGTTCATCTGCATAGCAGACAACACTTACACCTTTGGGGAGAACAGTACGCAGGACTGCATCATAAGCAATCAAGTTCCAAAGTAGTGGCCCTAAAACGGACCCTTGTGGAACCCCGCAGTTCACCCACGTACCCACGTACTGAATGCACCTGCCGTACAAGTACGCCCCGATAATGCGCTGCAGATAAGGGGTACCTGGTGGTAGGTCAGAGCTTCCCTGATTGTTCGCCAGGGTAGTGAATTGAGGGCATTCACGATATCACCTTTGGCCCTAGCACAAAGGTGATATATACTGTCTAGCTCGATTTAGAACAAATTACCGCAAAAAAAAGCTGCTCGATATGTCAACGCCAAGAATTCCGAACGAATTGGTAGCACCAAGGGGAGTGCTATCAAAAGAGGAAGATACAACGGAGGGTTTCCTCTTCAAAACGGGGTAAACGCACAAACCTGTGTCTTCATCTGGTTAATTTCGACTAGATTTAGTCGGCCCCAATCCGAGATTTTGCATAATAAAACCTCGACTTCCGACACAAGTTTATACCCACACTCTTAAAAGAAATTATATGCCCGGCAAGCCCAGCGTAAGAAGGTCTTCCACAAGGTGGACGGACGACCTAGCTAAGATCGCAGGGACGCGTTGGATGCAGGCCGCTAACCACCGGTCGAAGTGGAAGTCAATGGGGGAGGCCTATGTTCAGTAGTGGACGTCCTACGGCTGATATGATGATGATGATGATTTGCCCGGCCGGTATACAATTCGTAACCCGTAGTATACGCATATCAATGAATGTTGCAAATATGTAACAAATAATTGATATGTAGAAGGAACAAAATAGGGGACAGGAGGCAGCCTTTTGGGCATCAGCGTTCACGAATTTAGCGCCAGAGCAAGCACCTTCACTACCTTGATGTTCTGACGATTAATAAAACTAGTGATCCAGTTACACAATTTCTCAGGAGGCTCGTAAGCCACTTAAAGAAAAAGAAGTTTATACAAATGTTATTTTTTGCATAAGTTATTGGACAAACACCCAAAAAAAATTTTTTTCGTATCAGTAATCTTCGCGGGCGTACGCAGGGACTTACCAAGTTTCTTCACAATTAGATGAATCGATAAGGAAATAATTACATACAAATATTCATTTTTAATTACAAGAAGCTTTGTACCAATCACATTTCTGTCATCTTGACGGAGATGATAATTAATGTATGATGTCATTTAATATTAAAAGGTGCCTTTCACTGGAGAGTGGCAAAAAAAAAGAGGTATGGGTTTCAAATATTATCATTAGATAGCGCGTACACTGCACACTAGGTACTTAGCATATCAGTTAGGGTAGTTATCAATCGTCTAAAAAACCCATGTCCACGTAAAATAGAATGGCCTGTAAATAATCCCTTTGATTATACACTTGTCTAAATAACCCATTACCGAATGGTGTAAAAAATGTCTACTCAAATTGGTAGACTCGCGTTTCACTTACGTCAGTGTCATTTGAATCCCTTACGGATAACGTCCTAACGAAAAATAATTGATTATGCCGGTTTGTGCTATAAAATCATGTCGCAATTATATAACAAAACCGTAGGTATAATAATACCAAGATCACTTTTCATCGGTAAGTATTGTTATTTAACCACGATTAATTTAAGAAAACGCGATTCTTTAATTCGTTATTTCGAAGGCTAGTCTGGTTAGCCGGTGTTGTCAGTTTATAACAAGGAAGTTTTAGGGAAACTATGAAAACATTACATCATCTTTCGATGACAACATTATTATTTTAAAAATTATATTATGTATTGATCTGTAAATGATAATTTACCTCACAAAAAAGCACTGAATAAATGAAACCCATGACGTCAAGAACTAAATATTATTTTTGTGAGTAGTAGTAGTAGTAGTAGCTTTGTTTTTTTTTTTTTTTTTATGCGAAAAGTTGCCAAACGAGTCACCTGATGTTAAGTGAATACCGCCGCCCATGGACATCTGCTACACCCGAGGGTTACAGATGCGTTGACAACCTTTTGAAAATTGGGCTCCGGCTACCTCACTCACCAGACGAAACGGGAAAGTATTTGTCATACCTCCACTTTACGCTGGTCTTCTGTGAGGTCGTGGTACCTACCCGGACGGGCGTGCCCATTCGAGCAACAGCCGAGGCTGCTACATGGCCCTACCACCGTTAAGGTAATGGTCCCATGACTGGCCAAATGCTTTATCTGATAGGTTTTAAAGCATACGACCACTACTGTTGTTGTTGATTTCGGGACACTGTTGATTGTTTGACTTTATTAGCCATTACGAGTTGTTGTTTTCCAGGCCATGTTATTTTGCACCGAGAAAAGTGGTAAAAAGTTTTATAAAAACTTTGAAAGAATTCAAAACAATTCTAAATAAGTGAATGGTCAGAAATTCTCATGTGAACTCACGCGTTTTAATTTTAACAGCGTAGTTTTTTATTTGAGAAGGTGGCCAAAGAGCTGGGGGTTGATGATGAGAAGTGATAACCGCCGCCCATTGACATTTGCAATAACGGTAGGGTTACAGATGCGTTGTCACCTTTTTGATAAGGTGGGCCCCGGCTACCTCACTCACCAGACGAAATGCAGAAGTATAACGTTTCCACTGTACGAAGGTTTTCTGAGAGGACCTTCGTGTAACAGAGAAAACTGTTCCGTAGCCCTACCACAGTGGGTTACAGCAGCGGCTTACAGTGTGCTCCATTTCTTGCTATCATCACAGCTAAGTGCCAGGCGAATGCATGCGGCAG